AATGATCTGTGTGAAAAGTAAATGTACTACATGTATTTGCATTGTACGGCAATTTATATGATACATGTCAAACAATTTACTAGTAAGAGTCCAGCAAGAGATATAAAGACTGACGCTACAGATATGTACGGTACATAAATATCGAAGTCCAGCACTATATATTTTAAAAACTCACTGCAAAAGGGGCCTGCGTGACTTGTGGAAGAGCCGCGTACAAGCTATGTATGTTTACGTATTTTCGCCGGCGCCCCCCTCCCACCCCACGCCCATAATAATACGTTAGCTAAAGCGGAAAGTAAACGAGGCGGCTCCTAATTCTGAAGATATCTACATCTATATCGTCACTCCTGATCTGCCAAGAGTTTATGTTGTGTCACAAGAGTATTCACAGAACGTTACCTGTTGTCGTCTGCGTTTTTCGTGAGCCGCTTACAGCAGACGACGCCCCACTCTCAGCCGGTCTTTCGTCAAACGCATGTACATCCGGCACGGCTGTGGGCTTCAACTGAACGCGTTTACGTATTCCGAATTCCCGCTCGAGTCCGCCGACAAACTGGTCGCTGGAAAAATGACGACTGCACAGTTCGGCTTTCGCCCCTCCCGTCCAGTTGTTTCTACGGCGCTGTACATACTGGGTCCACAATCGCCTTCTCCGCGGGCTGCTTGGAAAACTATGCAAACTAAGTCCTAATTTCGTAGTCCCAGAACAACCATAAGCTACACATCTACGCACCATATTTCTATAATAACAAAGATAAACAAAGATACTGACGAAAAAACTTGGGCTGACAAAAAAACTACATGACAGTTCCTGTCGTCTGCTAAACTATGACGCTCGCGTTCCTACTGTGACGTCACTTCCGGTCTCACTGCCGAGTTTGCACTAGAGTAGAGCTGGTGGATTTAACACTTAGTTTTCGCAAATTCATGGGCGCTTGGATAAAAATGAGGCAATTTCTACAATTACATGTGTGGAAAGCTGTTTATTCCCCAAAATGCACATCCCTTGTTACATAGGGGCTTTAAAAACCGTGTCCTCTAAGTCGTCAGAAGTTAAGATATTTTAAGAACATACATTAAAAAAACTCAAACAAAGCAATTGCACACAATCTAGAGATCGATCAATAAAATAGAATTAGTCAACTAAGTTAACAGCATATGTAAGGAAGTCAACAACTGAACATTCGAAACATAAATTGTAAATCATAAAACCAATATAGCACATAAATATAACAACCTAACCATTAATAATAACAAAGGAAAACAAATCCATAACTCAATTTGCAACCTATAAATTAATACAAGACCACGTATAACGTAAGATACAAACAGTAAAACACGTTGCAACGTAAAATGTAAATTATCAAAACAACAACAGAGAGAACACACGTTAGGTAGACAAGAACGACGAGGACTGTGGGTGTTGCACATTGAGGTTGAGTTGTTGTCTAAGGTTAAATGCTTTATGTAAAAATTTTCCTAATTTTCTGATTATGCCCACTGTAGGACCTTTCATTAATTCCACAAATTTGTGAGGATCAGGTCTGTTAACATAATACCTGGGAAGGCATTCTCTTCTCAGGGTGCATATATTTGTTTACACTTTTTTCATATCTAACATATGACATTTACAAAGAATATATATATAAGCCAACTTCAATTGCTGCTTCTATAGCAGGCTCATCTCTCACGGTCATTACAGTAATTGCAATCTTCGAGTTTCTTCTCCAACTCTTGCACATTAATTTCTAAGGAGCCTGTTACTTTCTTTAATTAGAAGGGAGTTTTCCTCATTAGTGAAACTGTCATGTGTCTTGATAGGAACAGACATCAACTTAAGTGTTAAGCTTGTGTTGTTTTCTAGCTTTATTTCTTAACATCTTTTACTTTAGTCTGTGTACCATGATTTTGGCATGTTAGGAAATGGAATTATTGACGTCAGACTCGGAGATTGCTCACATGCTTTTGAAATATTTTCGCAGTCATTTGATTCATTTTCAATCATATCTGAAATTATTCCATCTCTGCTATCCTTTACATAGAAGCATTTCTCACAAAGTGTTCTATCCATGGCACTGATTGCTACATTTCTTCAGAAGTATCTTCATTTTGTTCATATCCTACGTTTTTGTCTTTTCTCTCTTCAAATACGTGCCAGATGGTGGCCCTTCTGAAACACTTTACACTATCTTTTGAATATTGTTTTCTGTTTCAGGCTCTGGTTGCTGATTAATCTCCAGATTACAAAAAAGCTTTATCAATAGTTGTTATCAAATGTATTTGTGTCCCAAATTCTTCATACACCATTCTTTGCAGAGTTTTAGTTCCTTCTAAATCATTTTCTGCTTTACTCCTGTTGTCTTTGCTACTATCTTTTCATCAAGTTCCTTAGCTAATACAGAACACACATTGTATGCCTTCATGCTTGTGTGAAGCATTCTGGAGCCTTCCTTTAAGCCAGACCTTGTGGAATGTGGTTTCCATGCAACGTCAGACACCTGTAAAAGGCAAGAGTTGAGACAAAATTCCAGTCAATTCACTGACCACTTTTATTCTCGAGCTTATATATGCAAGTGTGTATCTTGAAAAATAGACGTTTCTTACTTTGCTTCCTGGCACTTCTCCTAGTAGTCTCGGATCACTGCCGTCATAAGGGACACGTAGTTGTAAGCGCACCTTCGTAGTTTCCGCACCGCAAGCCTTGTGAAAGGCAAGTTCTCTGCAAAGATGGTGTGGCCGGACAGCCTCTCTCTTGCAGCCCTCCTTGTTATGCGCTCACTCTCCATAGAGATTCCATAAGTTTTCAGCCACCTGTAACAGAATAGACAACTTTGTTTTAACGTCCATATGATATTCTTGTAAAAATGTTATGAAAAATAAATGTAGCCTATCTGCTTCTGCTTTACTACAGTAACTGCTTTTTATCCTACCTCTTTTTATGCTACCTATCATTTCATCAAGTACCTTGGCTAATACAAAACATACCTTGTATGTCTTTATGTTTGTAATATGAAGCTTTCTGGAGTTTCAATCCGTAAAATCGGCAAAGTTTACTTTAAGACAGAACTCGCCTTGGGGAATGTTGTCTCCATGCCATGGCAGACACCTGTAAAAGACAAGAATTGAGACAAAATTCCAGTCAATTCACTGTCCACTTTTTCAGTTTAGAGCCAAGGTTTCAGCCACTTGTAACAGAATAGACGACTTTGTTTTAACATCCATATAAGATTCTTGTAAAAATGTTATGAAAAATAAATGTAACCTATCTGCTCTATAGAAGAATTGTTTTCAGTTTTACATTATCAGTTTTCGGACTTGATCGTAATTTAGGCCTACTCCAACCTTTGCTCCCAGCAGGTTGCCAGTCGGGTTACGCACTTGATATATTGAGAATATGAGTAGTGCTTAGGATGAGTTAGACAACAGTTAAACACACATCAGGACGGATACATGATCTCGACTCCCAGCGTGACGAGAAGGTGACCGTTTGGAACCGCGCGGCACGATGACTTCCGACACTTTGGCGGAGAGGTCTACACCTGTCTCATCTGCATAATAGATGAGATGTGGGTTATTGTTCTTGGCATTGGCCCTTGTGAGGACGTGATCTAACAATAGGAAATACTCTAACACCACTCTCTCAGTTGCGAACATTGCCCTATCGAGCTAGTCTGGTGACCGTAGACTGAGCTCTGGATGGCGGCCTCTAAAGCCTCGCCACCATCTCTTTCCAGGTGGCCCCGCCTCAGTAAGCTTTGATGACTCCCCAGCTCGTTTCAGCTCGATTTGATTTGCAAGGGCCTTCAAAACTCTGACCGTTAAAGGAAACCCAATTTCTGCTAAGTATTTGAAATAATCAATAAGAGCTCCCTCCTCTTCATGTGTTAACACTGGTCTGCTCATTATTTCTCCAGCCCGCACTTCAAGGGTGGACCTTGGAATTCCATGTTTTTTTGCCAGACTGTAAACGGAAACCTCTTCATTCCTAGCTGCTTCTAACGCAGCTTCCATGTTGGCTTGGGAGTAAGGCTTCTTTTTGTATATATGGACATAGAAAAACACAGGGCATTTCAAAACTTCATAGAAAAGGTAACATAGCCTCCTTGCAAACTCCTTGCCGATGATTGTCTACTTAGCATTAAAAGTATTTGTATTTAAAAATACTTACTATTGCAGAATGGTTACTCTTTCTTCTTCAATTCGTAGATTGCTTTGCTCATACTTTTTTTGAATTTAGGTACCACATGGTGACTTAAAACTGCAATATTCCATGAAAGAAGGAAAGTCTCCAAAACCTCAAAACCCTTTTCTGGACCTTACGATGAATTATTGATCTACAGATGTACTACAGAAACAAATAAACTCTTCTTGCTACGTCACTCAAACAATACAATGACTGACAAGGTCTCTCGTCATGCTTTTTCTTTTATTGCCAGAAATCTTGGTTACATAGAGCGGCAAAGCTGGTTCCTTGGGGTATTACAGGTCGACTGGATAAAAATGTCTCTGTATGCAGAATTTGACGATGTTGTGAAGGCTAGATAACAAGGAACAACATTCCGATCAAGTCTTATTCTATTAAGACATGAAAGTTTAGAGATGGTTGAAGGAGAAACCCTATTGTCTATGGTACAGGCTGTGAGTAGGATATCAGAGAATAGAAAAATACGACGATGTTGGTTTTCATCTTTTTTTCATCTTTTTCAGGAACCGAACCCACTGTCAGAACAAAGATGTATATTTTGGCCTCCCGTGCCCTGGCATTATACCTTTAGTTAATGACCTGGCAATTTAAATGGAGTGTCTTTGGACACACTAGTATGTCCACAGGACTCCATTTAAACTATTGGTGCATAGACCCCACGAGAAGATGGTGATAATATTCGTTATTTTGAACTCTGATATCCACTAACGAGTCTTGTCATGGTTAATCAAGGCAAAAGCAGCTAAAATCTATGCGGCTGATCTGCAGTCACGGCTGGTATGCCAGGATGGTGCTGGGCACACGCAGGATGCGGTGAGACCATCGCACGTTCAGGGTCCTGTTGGGAAACAAAAAAAATAAATACCAAAATGCGAGTGAATTGAACTACAATAACAGGACCATTGTTTTTTTCTTTGTTGATGTTACTGGAACAGCTGCTTGATTTGTTTGGTTGACTGATTGATGGATGAGTTTGGAGATGGAGAGAAGGCCGTAAACCAGCTGACATGCCCTGTCTTCAGATTGGTGAAAGTGAAGGGTCTACTGTCTTACCCAAGAACTTTCTACCTGCTGAAGAAGTCTTCAGCAGATGCCTCTTATCTCTGGAGACTACTTTGAGTCTTTACCTTTGGCCATGTCCTTGTCGAACTCCTCAAGGTCGATGTTGTAACCATCCTCCCCGCCGATGTTGTCATGCTCCCGGGCGAAATTCTCGTGTTCCCCGCGCAGCAGCTCAAGGAGGCCGCGGGACTTTTCAACCACCCTGGTGAGCAATAACGTCTTGTGATCAATCCCTTACATCGTAAACCTACTGAACAAATTTAACCAGGGAGGACTGAAATTTGCAGGGAACGTTGAAAATCGCCGACATGGCCGGCGACGTGTAAATCCCGGGTAAATAAATAAAGATTAGATGGAAATAAAATGACCATGAACTGTCTACTATGATAATTTCAAAATAAAGTCCCCGACCCTCTAGAAGAGGATGGGACAAGGGGAAGGTGTAAAGTTCTGTCTTGAATGCTTCCAGAGTTGTATCTCATGGTCACTAGCTTTTTAAACAAACAATTTCTATTTTAGCTTACTGCTCAAGTTCTTCGTCGTAGCCGGGAATGGTGTTCTCTCCTTCCAGCAACTCCAGAAGGCTGCGGACTTCCTCAGGGTCTGCCACCGATCTTGTGAACATGATATTTGGACATGTAAGAAAATCAGTGAACATGATATTTGGACATGTAAGAAAATCATTCGGATCAGATTTCTGCTATTGACCCCATCAAAGACCCAGAGACCTATGCCAAATAGAGAGCTGATGTTACGAACTTATGTTGAATAGAGGCAAATCTAGGAAACTCAACTTATCAAGCTAGATTTTTGGACTAAAGTCAATTAATCTTAACTTACCCCTTCTTGGTCTTGCTATCACCATTACGACCACCTATAATCCTGTGTTGAATATTAAAAAAAAAACTAGTTGCCGGGTTCCAATCACTGAGCAGCCCCGAAGGGGATCGTAGAGCAAGGTACAGGCTACAAGATGTTTTAGAACTTTATTTATCAAAAATAACATCGCGGACTTAACTGAATTGTTTTGTAGTTTACAATATTTACAACTGTTTATAACAGTGATTAAGATTGACAGTATCATGTGATCATTCAGCATTACAATATTGACAGTTACTTATAGTTACTGTATCCATCCATGCTATATCAGATTATAAAATAATTGTACACTAGAAAGGCCGACATTTGCTTGAGAGCAAATGCAGCGATGGCTTCACCACATCCCCCATACCGAAAATGGATCTATTCCAAGATGGCCGCCAATAGTCTACACCCCCATGCAGAAATGGAACCTTCCAATGCCGGAAATAGCCAAAAAGCCCTATTTTACATAATTTTAAAGTGGTGTATGTCAAAATCGTGAATGACATTCTTTGCACATGTGACCAAGGTATCCCCATACCAAATTTCAGGTCATTCGGATTTAATATTAGGGCACAGGAGCCAAAAATGTACATTTTTGGTCCGAAAATAGCCGAAAAGCCTTATTTTTCCCGATTTCTAAGTAGTGCACGGCGGTCAATTTCTAGGGTAAAGTTTCCAATTCTACGGAAGGGTATCAGGTTACCGGGGTTCCACGCGCGGCTTCCGTGGAGCCGGTTTCTACGGTAAACATTCTTATCATCAATTATAAATAGTTTCACGGGGACTCTCTTGTCCAAATGTGATCAAATCCGCACTGCATATAGCTCAAATGTTGGTGTTTTTATTACAATGTTTAAATGTGCGTGAAATTACTCTCAACGCGTCGAATGCTTATTCTAGAACAATCGACGTCAATAACCAAACAACTGATTTAAACCGACCCCAAATCTCTCCGAAAATTCCACATTTTTGCATTTTAGAGAACAGTATAACAAAATTAAGATTTGAGTCGGACAGTTTTCTTTATTTCAAAGTTAAAGTGTTGCTAAGGTAGAAAAATTCGCCCAAAAATGCACTTTTTCAACTTCCAAGACGGATAATTCCAGAACGCCGCCATCTTTAAAAAATCCGTCCGACACAGATCGAGATTTTTGTCTTACCTACAATTTAAGATGTTTTTGAGGTAAATTGAATTTGTTTTTCTTGCGGTTTAAATACCATGTTTGCACGCATGTCAGGTCGTGTGAGTAAGTACAGGGGGTAACTTATATCCCCGTAAACAACAATTACGATCTTCAAGGTCACACACCATGACGGCAGTAGCTTTGTTACATGTTACATATCCACTATAAGACAGGTCATAGATATACTGTCCCGAAATTGGTTTATATTTGTAAAAGGGTAATTTTTTTACTGTTAGGCGGTACCCGTGTAAAAACGGGCTTGAAGTCGCGGGTTTACTGTACATGACCGCGGGTAACCCCGGATCGAACGAACGTTCGGTTCGATTGACGTCATATCGAACATGATTCGATTCGAATGACGTCATATCGAACATGATTCTGTTCGATGAAAAGGTTGGAATACTTGGGCCCAAATTTGACCATCGTGGTGTATGTCAAAAGCTTGAGTGAAGTTTTGTAGACATGTGTCCAAGGTATCCCCTTACCAAATTTCAGGTCATTTGGTTCTAGTACCAGGGCTCCAGATCCCAAAATGTATATTTTTTGCACGAAAATGGCCAAAAAAAACAACAATTTTTCAAAAAAAAAAAAAGAAAATGCATCAGGGTATTTGCCCACTCTACCTTCATGCCAAATTTCATGATATTTGGCCCAGAAATAGCAGAGATGAATCCATTTAAAGAAATGGCAGGAGAATGAGGAGGAGAAACATAAGAAAACACAATATGTCTTCACCACTTTGTGGTGAAGCCATAATTAAAACAAGGAACAAAACAAGTTAAGTTTACGAAATGATATTGAAAGGACACAAAAGTAGAAATGGATATCTAGAAAACAGTTCTATGAAAGAGTCTAATTGTAGATGTTATATTTGAAGCTTGAAAATGCCTTCCTTACAGTTGAATTAGCTTTGGTAGTAAGTGTGTCTAGACATATATGTCTTGTCATTGTGGTCTACAGTCTGTTTGGTAGTATATAAAGAAAACAGTATATGTGTAGACTGGAGCTCAGTAGTAACTGCCAACCAATGCTTGACGCTACCAGGCAGAGCTTGGCAAGTCAGTGTTGTCATTACTTTATATTCTGGGGTAGGTGAAGTTGACTCCTTTATGTGCATCCATGCTATCCATCTGTCGACTATACCTTTCAAAGTGTCTTAAAGAGGTGACCTATCTTGGTCGCTACCTTAGCCAGACCTCCACCCATGTTACCGCCACTGTAGTCAGAGCTAGACTGAGGTCTGGTAGTTTACGTTAGCTGAATTTACTGGATGATTGTATAGTACAAGCCTGGTCTTTAACTTACGGTCTCCCTCGCCTGCAGCCCCCATCGCAGTTACATCCCCAAATGTTGCAGGGCCCGTATCCGCAGTACGGCGTTGCCTGAACATGCGATACATTAGTTTTCATCTGTCCATTTTACAAAAACAACATTTTCTACTCTACCTACTGTAACAACATCTACATCGGAGAGACGAGTCGGCCGCTTAAAGTAAGATACAAGGAACGTTGCAGACCTAGTGCTAACGGCTACTCCTCGGCCATTTTCTACCACCTACAACACAACCAGGGCCACTCCTTCAAACTCGAGTCCACAGATATCTTAGACCGCGAAACACGCTGGTGGGAACGGGATATTAAAGAGGCAATATATGAAAGAACCCAACCCTCAACAGGGAAGAGGGGCTCCGGGTAGATCTCTCCGGCACTTCAATTTTGGCGCTCCCAACCCCGAGGACAGACAACACTTAAGCTCCTGTTCTGCATAACAGGAGCTTTCTGACTTTCTGAGCATTATCTTGTCTTGACTTGTCTGGTTTTTGTTCCCTTTTTGACATCCATAAATTGTCTCTATCGTATTTGCATATCAACGAATAGTTTGTGCTTATAAACCTGCATTTCTCCTCTGGTATCCAGTCACTGACGAAAGCTAGTGGATACTAGCTGAAACGTCTGACGTTCCAA